GGAGATAGCTTCGACACTGATTTGACCGACAATGAGCCGATTGACGTAGAATAACTACCAAATCATTACACTCATTAAAGACACCCGTGACGGAAACAAACGACATTATGACTTACCACGTAGGCATATCAACTATGAGCTAGGGGATCTGGTCTGGCGGAAAAATTAAACTTTGTCTGATGCCACTAGATTACTCTGCGAAATTGGCTCCCATATTCTTAGGACCATTTGCGGTCAGCTGTAAAATTGGGTATTTAACCTATGAGCAACAATATCGGCTAAGGGATTCTTCCCGGTCCATTTCCTCTTTTTCTTCTTCTGTTGTGGAATTTCCTTTTTCCGGTACAGTCTATCGTCTAAGTACCAGGGATTAGGCTTTCTTGGGGATCTTAAATATGAGTGAGTGAATCGATTGACTTGGATTTAAAGGGGTGTATTGTTTTAGGAGCGGGATGATTTTTATATGGAGGTTTATATGGAGGATTCACCTTTAATTATGATTTCGAATTTGGGTTTGCACTTATCTCGTGATTGAGGATTTGAATAGAAATTTTTACACGTGGTAAGTAAGGCCATTTTTGCTAACGCTTCGTTATTTTGGTGCATTTTCTTTTCAGATATCCGATATCTGACGGTTGCCCCGACGTAGTACTTTTAGAGGGGTTTTCCTTCCCCCGGGTATTTCCTGCTGAACAATCCCAGTCCAGCTCGAGGGTGCTAAAACTATTAGAGTATTTCCGTGCGAAGATATAATGTAACTGTGCGCAATACCCATGTGTCCATGTCGATGTTATCAAGGAGATAACGACCACCTTAAAGTTATTGTATTGATTGCACCGACCATCTAGACACTTGGGCAATTAGGTAGTTATACTTCTACATACTGCCACACCTAGTGCATATGTTTTCGATCTTGGCTTACGGTCAGAAGTAATATGCATTGGCCTGTAAGGCAGTAATTAGTTCACCGCTGTACCCCTCTTATTTTTTATTCAATGGTTTAGGTGCGTAGATTTTCTTTCTGTTACAGGGCCGGAATCGCTACAGGAGAGCTTTGGATATTTGGGGGAATATTTTGTATTTGTCTTGTGGAGACAATTTTATTTTGCGATCTGATATTTCGAATATACCAGTATTTTTTGATACATGAATTGATTACTTCGTATCTTCTCAATTTCATACGGGGAGAAACCTTGTTGGTAATTGGTAACGAAGTGACCCAGAACGAACTACTACTGTGCAAGATCTCAAGCTTTTATTTTATCTTCCAGCCCTGACCTAGTTGGCCATTTATGCGGCGAGTTTATTGTAACGCAGCGCCAACTCTGCCTACTGTTATAAGTGAGAGAAACACAAACCTGATCAATCACTGGGACACTTTACATTTCCTTTCGTAATCGAGCGGATTCAACTTCACACTTTTACTGGTACTCAAATTTATTTCATAACTTCAAGAACAAGGTCGATACGATTAGTAATAAAAGTAATGCTTGCTTATGTGGAATTATTCGGAAAACAATTAATAAGATCGCAACATTGGCAAACAATCAAAACGCGGATGGGTCTCAATGTAAAGGTCAACAAATGACATCGGAACAACTAAAAATATACAGGGTGTTCTATTAAATTAGTTATTTTTGACATCGTAAAAATAAGATAACTTTCGTGTAACATGTGTTGACATTTGCTCAAAAGGCTGTTTTATATTTTTTACGAGCTATGAGCTAAGAAAGACGAACCACTGTTGCAGGACCCTGTATACATTGGAAATATTAAATGCCAAGAATGGCCATCCAACATTTACTACATTAGTGTCACGAAGGAGAATTCTATTAGCGTCCTAATTAATAGATATTAAATTAAATGGCAGATCAAATCGAATTTTACATGCTACACGAAATTACATAAAAATTAACTTTCATAACGCTCTTGGCCCATTAAAATGTAATGATATCAGTTACAATCAAGTTTCCAGTTAAAACACCTCACTTCTAAAATTAAACGTATTTTCGACTAACCCTCACTTCACATCAGCAGTATGGACCAGCGAGGCGTATCGTATGTACAACAAATTACAGAGTAAGATATAATTTATAGTGACCAGCCGTGAAATGCAGTTTAACGATTATAATTAGGTAACAATGACACAATCTATGTTTTATGTTCTCCGCAGTATATCACATAATACGATTTGGTACAGCTAAAACTTCATTAAAGTAGTTTCATGTTATTCACGAAGTTAAATCCTTGTGTATTACATTCCGAGGCTTATAAAATTAAAACTTTTGTTTAAAATACTAAAAGGGCCTTACACGTCTAGCTTTACAGCGCATCTTTCACAATAAATTAATTACTTTTGCAATTATTTAACGTGTAAATACAGAAATTTTTTTTCCACTCATACTAAAAACATTTCGTCTAAATAAGATGGTGTGTCACTTTAATGTATGTAAAATAGGCGTTTTTAGGAGTATCAGTTATTGTGGTAACTGTGCCAGAAAAAACAATCGGCAAGTAGAGAAACTTTCTGTTAGGCGTTGGAAAATGGCAGGAGCGTTTTTGAACCCAAACAGCATGTACTTGAACCTACACAGGCCGAAAGGCGTAGAAAGAGGCTGTTTTATCTTGATCGCTGTCGCACCGAGATTTCCCAAGCAAATCTAAAGGCTGACTCGCGAGTATCATTCCCGGGAGGTATACCGCTAATCTGACAAACCTCACTTGAAGCTGGCCGCTCATGCTTGACCGAGCCTCTTCAGCCAGAGAATGGGAATGTAAGGATAAAGTAAGTGAACCACCTACTTGCAATTTGCATTGATGTTTTTCTGGATGCCATTTCCTTGTAAAGTATTGCAGTCCGATTTATTATTATTGTGCAGTGTTTATATATAACTAGTTTTCTTTTAGCACCTGATGGTTATTCATTATACAGTGTGTTTATTTCATATATAAATACAAAATATTTTTTTATCAATGTGAAGTGTGCTTTTGCGTATGAATGTCATTTAACCATTTACTTTCCAGGATTGTATCGCTTCAACTTCACATTTAATAATACAGTAGTGCCTTGCTAATCCGCACCTCGTTAATCCGAATTTGCGTTAACCCGAAACACGCTAAAAATGTAACCTCTACCTCGCTAATCGGACTAAATTCGGGATAATCTGAACAAAAGTGCGAACGCTGTACAATTCGCTCACCAAAATGTGCGCACATACTGGCGTTTTGATATTTATGATGTGGTACTATTTACATTTAGAACATTATTTTGTTGTTTCAAAGGAATTTATTCATGTTTCTACGATGTGTAACTCTTTATATCTCAATATATAATTCAAAATATATGGTTTTATTGTTATTTTTGTTATACCGAACAATTCAGATCTGATCAACCTCTGGTCCCAATTAGTTTGGATTAGTGAGGTTCTACTGCATATTACTCTATTGCAGCAAAAAGGTACCTCAAAGAAAATAAGAACCGTTTCATAATTGAATACAGATTATTGACTTATTATTTATCCTTTTACAGTTTTGAGGCCAGAAGAGGATCACTGACCGACAACTAGCCGGCGCATATTACATATAATTACATAACAAGAACCAGGCCCAATTTAATTATAATATGGGAAGATTAACCAGAGGCAAATGGCAGGAATTCGCCTTCCTCTGTCGTCATTTTCTCATTAATAAAAGTGATACGGAACTTTTCAATTCGCTAGCATGTTCTTATGCATTATCGTGGTTTTGGTCAAGTAATTGTGCAGAAACACATTGTTTTCTGACGTTTTATTTATATAAAATGACTACCAAATTAACCCATGGAACGCTATAATGAAGTAGCGCGGGCATGCGTATTATCATTGAATAAAAACACTATAAGAAGCTTAACCCCGTGGAAATAAAGCGCGACAGAGATTGAACTGAGAATATAATGGAAACACTGTCAATAGTGTCGATTCTTGAACTGAGAAGAATGAGAATTTGCTTTCCTCCTATTTACCGCAAAGAGAGTTCGGTGATCACAACCATTATCATAGTATAATATTATGGTATTACGTTCCCCTGCAAAAGTCAACTTAACAATAGTTACAATCGCATATTTTTCACACATGTGGAATAGTATGGGTCATCATACGATTAAACGGACATGTGTACTTGTCATTTCATCAGTACGATTGTAACAGTTGATAATAAAGAACAGACATTTTTAAATTATGACCGAACTACGGCAGAAACGTTTGTCAAGATATTTGTAAGGGACCAAAAGTTGAGAAACATTATTTGTTGCAAGTCCAACTATAGGTCAAGGTTCAGGAAAGATAGCAGGAATTCTGTTAATCTAAAATAAAATTTCCCAAAAGGTCGTGTTTGTAATTTAGAGATTTAATTGAAGATGAACATCATTGCATCCTGAATGATACCGAACTATTCAGCTTTGTCGATTGGCCATTAGTTAATATGGAACGATGTAATGACAAATAATCTGCCATGTTTGGAACTGTTTACCATGAATACCAAAGAACATCAATACTAAATTTGATATTTTAGGAGTTGCATCATATCGCACAATGCAAAATTTCCATTTATTTTTAACTACCTATAGCAATGCAGGTGCACAAAGCCTATTCGTGCAGCGTATATTTTACTAAGTGAAAAAAAAGAGATTCGGGTTTTCGAAATTTCTGTTCCGTTGAGCGATAAGAACAGCTCCGGTTCCAAAAAATCACTACTTCGAATTGGTTTTCAGTTATATTAAGGTTCGATCCAATTTTCTTATTTAAATTCCATTGCCCTTAATAAATTTAACAGAAACCGAAGGCATCTCTCTCAAATAATGCAATTTTTGTACCTACTTTGAAGAACTTACCAAGAAACCAAGGGCACCCCAAAAGAGCGTACCACTTTTACTTACCAATCTACAGCTTAATGTCACAAACTGCTGATAGTTGCCTTTCAATCTGGCGATTACTTGATGAAATGCATAGTGGAAGAGTAAGTAATCTGCGTGAATGTCATCTATTCAAGGAGATCTTGTAAGTAAAATTTTACAATAACTGCGAATTGCTTATGTAGGATATAAACAAATTTAAATACTTAGACGAAGTAGTAGTAGTAAAAGAAACATATCAATATTGCCACTAGTCCGATTATAATGGGAACGGTGAGCGAATTTTCAGATGCAGGTGGCTCTTCTTCTTTGGGATCTGGAGTATAAACTAACCAATCTTCTGTCTTAGCTTCGAATTCCGTGTGCTCCGTTTTCTCCAATTCACCAACCTTAAGCTTAGCTAATATGCCTCTGGCGTCCGGCGTGTGGCCGGCGTCTTCAAAACCCTCGGTTGCGTCGAATCCCTCTAGTTCCAATAAAACCTCTTCACCACCTGGATGTTCGGGTATAAACTTCGACATATCGTAAACACTATTGTGTATAATAATCCATCCGTTCTTATGCTTTTCGACTTCCTTCCTTGTAATTAATCGCACCATTATTAATAGGAATTGTGACGGTTACACGCTGGAACGCACTTTACCAAACGGTCTACACGTTAGCGTAATGGTAACTGACTGAAATAATTTCATAACAAATTTTTATCTTATCTTTGTGGTAGTTAACTGAAAAAACATATTAATAAAACTATGGTAAAAAAAATATTGAATGCTGCTATTGGTGTGCGTTAGTTAGATCATAGCGTGTATCAAGCAAGGAAAACAAATTTTCTTATTATTAGGTACATTAATTGGCGCACAAGAATTCCAACAAAATTTATGGTTCAGTTTAGTTCAAAATCCAATCGAGACCACCGATAACAAAAGTAGAAGACACGTTTTTGCCTGCATTCAAATTAATTAAAATGCAACATGATACAAGGGTAGGTAATAATTTAATTTATATCTGCGCTACTACTTTCGCTCGGTGAGTACTCACTTCGAACATTGTCACCACCAAATAAACTATTTTCATGCACGTTCTATTTGTGATTGTAATATCCATGCACTTCAATAATTGTCTATTTTCTGTTCATTAAAACTTATTTGATCTTCATTTAGAGCTACAGTCTCTGTTTACATATGTCTAAATTAAAGGATTTCTAGTTTTTAAGCTCTAACTCATACATCGCCAGACTCTTCACTAAACTAATTGCATTTTATTTTTATATAATAATAATTTTATCATCCGCAGGTTTATTGCATCGGTGCACCATGGCATCTTACCGTAGAAAGTAAAAGTATTCGGGTCGTTTCAAAAAACAGTGCCCACAATATTCTAAATTGTATTAATTCTTACAGTAAATACCTACATTTTTTTCAAAAGGTACCGACGCGACGGCTAGCTCAAAACGAGACCTTGCTGAAAAATTGGGCTCTGCAGACTTAAAATGTAATGAAGCGCCCATTTTTCGATGTGAGATCTACAAGCTTTGAGGATCACCCGGTACATAAACACATGGTATCGAGACGTAATATAAATTAGGGACGCTTACTAGCGGGAAATTAATAATTCCTACGTATTTATTTTCTAGGAGTGACAAGTAGAAGGTAAAAGTAATCGTTCAATTTGTAAAGTCGTTTTAACCGCTGAAAAGGAAAACCAGCTGCTAAACATAATTGTTTAGTTTTCTGGCGAATTTGGAAAATTTAATCCGGTCTGTCAATGAGTGAGTATAATTAACCGTAGTTAATTAGTTGACTTGCAGCAAACTTCGTCTGATTAGATCGTGCCTAGTGGTATTAGAAGCACGTTTAATTAATATAGATTTTGAGATCGCCAGGGAGACTGGAAATGAATTAAAGATTTAATTTTTCGGAATTATCACTCGAGTATGCCGGCCGGCTAGAAAATCCGAGATCAATTTCCATATTTTTTTTTTGGTTTCGTGTCATTTTGGTTTGATTTTTTACATTTCAAAGTCAGCGCTTGATATTTTCATACAGTCAGTCAGTGTTTTCCTTGGTTCGTTTTCTCGTAGCTGATACCGTTAATTTGTGATTTCGTTCCAGATTTCGTAAATCGTTTCCCGTGTGCCGTAATTCTGTTTTAGATTATTCACCAGTGCCCGACCACCCATACCCCGGAGTTTTCCGTTTTCTCCTTCTGATTACCCGTGGCTTCCAAAACCGACCGTCTTTGACCAGGAGTAGGAGCGACAAACTCCTGTTGACGCTTTAGTTTTCGTACCGTTTCGCCAAGGCTACTGCACGGCCCCCTCCACTTCAAGATCAAAAAGGTTTAACATCGCGTGAATAAAACTTAACACTATTATAAATATTTTTTTTATTTTTTTATTTTGCCTTTATTTTTAAGTGGGCGGGGTTTCAGCCGAGGCTGCTCTACCAACCCAACCCACTATACATTTACAAATATCCATGCCCGAACCCGGATTCGAACCAGGGACCCTGTACCGCAGTCGAGCTTCCACTGAACTGCGCTACACGGGCCGGCAAATATTACAAATAGGAAACTGTAATATCTTAATCTGACATATCAATCAAAAAGGGATCAATCCACTCGTAGTCATGAAAGTTATTAATGTCAAAATAGACTTCTACAGAAACAAAGGTATAATTGTTAAATTCAAAAATAGAAATATTGCCTATTGAACTACAGGTTGCAACCTTTTGAGGTCAGAAACGGTGCTTTTCTACTTTGTCTGTAACAGATAAAAACACAAACAAAATAACAAGAAGGATAGTGAACAACGCGGCACATAAATATTCCGATAGCAATGTCTAACGTCCGACACTCGGGTACTCGTATACTAAAACCATAATTAATACTCAATAACTTTAACTAAGCAAAAGCACGGCAACGAATGGCCCGTACATATTGACGATACCAAAAGAATCGTAACTTTAAATAACTCAATTTATAATTCAAAAGTAATTCACTAAATATCGGTAAACAGACTAATATAAAGGATATGAAACGTAGTTACGCGTTGCGCGCGTTGACAAGTTCTTTCCGATGACACTTATTTCAAAGCAATCGTAGAAAAACTGTAGAAGATAGAAAAAACTGAAAAATCTCCAGGTTAGTATAACACGCTCGGGGATGGCGCCCAGATTTCGCCGACCCCACAAATTGTAGCCCCGTCCCTAATGTTGTTAGCTAAACGGCCCCGATAAGTACATGTACACTCCTGGTCTTTTTACAAGCGTTTTACAGCTAGCCGGCCAGCCAGCCAAAGTGAGATTAAAAGCTACCTTTTTACAAACAAATGTGCATACATGCGTTAGGGAGCTCCCGTAACAACAGATGTATAAATTTCAGGATTTTTGATGTTATACGGGATTTAGTGCGTTAGAGCTGATCCTTTCCATCCCTGGCACAAACTTCAGGGAGGTGTTGTGGCAAAGCACTGCCCTGCATATGCGCCTATTACCTCAAAGATAAACTCCAGGTACCCATTTTATAAAGTGTGGATCCGCCAGAGATGAGAAAACGCCAAAGGACGCCTGACGGGACGTAGAATCGAACTGTAACTGGCGGTCGCTTTAGACTTTCTTTGTTGAATTTACAAATTTGCGGTATAGGAAATTTTATACGTGTGCCGCTTCATAATTAAACAGAACAGAACTAATATTCGAGAAAATAAAGCGCATTCAGATAATACAGTGTTGCCGGTAATAAAAACCGTCGAATGAGGGACGGTTTTTCTGCTACACCTTCACATGTATAAAAAACAAAGTGGTTTTCGTTGGGGTTGTTTCGTATTTGGGATTCGGCAAGTACTTGAGTAAAAATCGAGTGAGAGGAAGGCACTCTTAGTCAAATTTCGAAGCGAAAAATATGAAGAGTGACAGTGTCATGTAATCATTTTTGCAATTTTAGATCAGCCAAAGGTTTTTTGGAGCGACGGTTAATCACAGACGATCTGTCCACATTCAAGTTTTAACCCACGACTGAAGAGGACCGTAGAAGAAAAATTATCGCAAACATTTCCATTTAACTAAAAGGTAGCATGAATTATTGATTAAAGGAGGCACGATGCTCCCCTATTAACGAGCGTTGTTTATGTAAACGGAAGAAGGCAAGTAAAACTCTCTAAAATTCCATGTATGTGTAATGAAACTTAAATGGATTAAATTAATCGAAATTATTCAATCTGTGTTTCGAATGGGAGGTTCAATAAATCCGATTATCTCCCGTCTGAGGTAAATGCGATAAAACTACTTACTGTTTTTCATACATTATTCACCGCATATCTGGGGAAATTACTAAGAATAAGATTTGACTTTTTACGAGTAGATACCCTGGCTTAATTTATTATTTAAGCGTTGGCGATTGATAAGTACCGAAATAAATGAGTACTGAGAGACCATTAAAGTCTCACGGAGGAATTGGTTTCGATCAAGTTATAAATTACTGTATGGAAGCAAGAAGCTTTTTTATGAACCTTCCTTCTAATTCCCTTTTGAAGTACGAGATATACTAGACTATCTTGACATTCATTAAGCTTTTTAGCGTCGGAGATAATTCTTTAATTAATGCTTTGAGCAAGAAAATTTCATCAGATGACAATGAACGTAGATAGTATATTTTCTGATAATAAAAAGAATAAAATATAGGGTACCCAAAGACTAAAGGACGAGCAGAATCCATGATTATATCAATTATAGGGAAAAGTGATGCATTTGTAGAGAGTGGAGCAAAATAAACGCCTTCATTTAAAAATCGATAGATCAATGCCCACATGTGATGAGAAAGAAGCGGAAGAAAGGTAATCTTAATATATAAAATAAAGTGGTGAGGCGAGGCGAAACCGAGCTTATGCCCCATATTGCTTTCGTTTCTAAAATGGTAACAGTTAATCCGACACAAAACTTTTATAAAAATTAAAGTACGGTAGTCAAATAGGGATTTTACGTGGCCTGGGGCCCGGGGGGGGGGTTACAAATTAATTTTATCTTTCATAGTATTCTAATTAAAAGTCTCCACGAAAGGAACCGTTTTCTACCATCTACCGCTCTTCTTTCTGACCCCTTATCAAAAGAGGGGGTTGGAGGGGGTGAGTGGAACTGGTTTTATACTTCATAGTACTCATATGAAAAGTCTCAACCAAAGGAATTAATTTCTACCAACCATAGTCCTCCTTCTCGACCCCTTATTGTTATCGAATATATTCCCTTATATCCCCAGAACGGATTCTCGGAAGAGGTACTCACAAAAAGCGATTAGGATGTCTACTAGAAGAAAGATATCCATTGGTGATGTCAAAACTTTAAGAGCGAATATTTCGCAAACCGTTTGTCGGAGGAAAGTACTCTCAAAGGCAAAAAATCGACTGGACGAGGCATATCTATTAGAAAAAGGGTATTCATAAAAGGCAAGTGGAACGTCAGGACGAGACATATCTATTGGTGATGTCAAAGTTTTCAGTGCAAATATCTGCAGCATGGAGGTTTTCAAATATTTATGTGTAAATATTACCATTAATCATCTACCAAGAAAGTAAACATCAATAGGATGCTACTAACTTATAATCCAACCTTTTACTAAGCTATTCCGTTTTAAAAAATGCGCTTTATCTGCACAAGAGTTGTGCACAACTAATACT